CCTTGTTAGTATCCCCCCACCCGCAACGGCCGCGCCCAAGTGGCTGATGGCCTACCTGCAGCGGAACAAGGGCGCCGTCGACCGCGCGCTGGCGCGCTGCCTGCCGCGCGAGGGCGCGCAGACGGAGAAGATTGTCGACGCTATGCGCTACTCGCTGCTGGCCGGCGGCAAGAGGGTCCGGCCCATCCTGGCCATCGCCGCGTTCCAGATGTTCGCGCAGGGCGGCGCGCAGGCAGCGCTGGAGCCGGTCATGCCGACCGCGCTCGCAGTCGAGATGATACATACCATGAGCTTGATTCATGACGACTTGCCCGCCATGGATGACGACGACTTTCGGAGGGGCAAGCCCACGAATCATATGGTGTATGGCGAAGATATCGCCATTCTGGCGGGTGATGCCATGTTGTCCTACGCTTTTGAGTACGTGGCGAGGGAGACGCGCGACGTGGACCCGGTTAGGGTCTTGGAGGTTATCAGGTTGTTGAGCAATTGCGTGGGGCCCGAGGGCCTGGCTGGGGGGCAGGTCATGGACTTGGAGAGCGAGGGCAAGACCGATGTGTCTTTGGAAACCCTCACCTGGATACATACCCACAAGACCGCCGCTTTGTTGCGAGTTAGCTGCGCCGGGGGCGCCGTTATTGGGGGTGCGAGTGAGGACGATGTCCAGCGTGTCAGCGACTTTGCTGTCAAGATAGGCCTCGCCTTTCAGATTGCGGACGATGTCCTCGATGTCACCCAGAGTACCGAAATGCTAGGGAAGACCGCAGGGAAGGACGAGGCCACCAATAAGGCAACCTACCCCAGGTTGTTAGGCTTGGAGGGATCCCGCCAGCAGGCGGAGAGGTTGGTCGCAGAGGCAAAAGAGTGCCTCGCCCCGTATGGGGAACGCTCAAAGAACCTGCTTGCTCTTGCAGATTTTATCATCAACAGAAGCAACTGATTTCACTGGGAACACGTCAAAGCAAGACGTGTATGATCGTCTTTGTACAGCCTGCAACACAACACCATTCTAAGCGGTTCAGAGGATTTCCTCGCCACTCATGCCCCAGCGTGATTGCAAGTAAGCACTGGGGCAACGCTCGCTGCACATATCAAGAGGTAGTGAAGACAGCACGCAGCAACTTCGTACGCCGTACGGCAGCCATAGCTTATTGTTAAGCCTCCACAGATGTGACACATACGTTTTTAAACATTTCTTTCTTATACCATCTCAGTGTTGCACTCTTCGACATCCTTACAGGGAGGGTTGGTTCTCCATGGCCACGCACGTCAACAACAACCCTATATTGTTTGAAAACTTACTATACACTGTTGCTACAACATACCATCGAGTCACTCTATCGAAGCGACCTCCCGGCTCCCCCGAAAGCAACAAATGGTTTCTTTTCCTCCGTCTCCACCTCATCGCTCTTTTCTTCAGCTCCATTTTCCCGTGTTGCCGATGAAGCCCCTCCAAAAGTAAGTCCACTCCGCCCTGACCTCGCCTTCAGAGTTTGGCCGGAACCTGGGAACATTTCCTTTGGCGGCGGTTTATCGTCATCACTCGAGTCGTCGTCAATTGGGGCGCGCTGCTTCAGTTTTTCCAGTCGCTCGTTAAGTCTCGCCGACGGATCAGCACCAGAGGCCCCAATATCGGCTTTCCTCGCGCTCGACGCAACGGCCGCAGGCTTCGGCGCTGGCTTCTCGGGTTCCACGTAATCCGCCGGTGCCGCAAACTCGACGTTCACATCCGTCTCAATAATTGATATCGCCTCACCCGGCGCTACCTCGAGCACATCGAGATGGTACGTTTTGTCGTTATAGCTGATGGCGATAGTGTCCCCCTTCGTGAGGCAGGTAAAGCCGCGTAGCGTGGCCTCTAGCACAGCCTTCGGATTAGAGATTTTCAGAAAGTCCGAAGTCTGAGGCTGAAACTTGACAAAAGTGCCTTTTGGCAAGTTGGCATTCCTGATAGTGATCATGCCCCCTTCCTGCACCATGAGGTTCTGCATGAGCCAGTATGGCACATTGACATGCCCCTCCTCCGCCACAAATTCCTGGACTCCACAGTGGGTTTTGCGCCCCTCGCGAGCCTCCAACTGGAAAAGCATAGGAAATGTTATGTTGAGACGGGCGAGCGTGTCCAAGGCGGACGGTGGAAGCACAATCTTTCCGCCGGACTCGAGCTCAGATTTGTCGATGAAAGACACGGGGTAGCATCGAAACTGCCGCCTAAAAGCCCCTGGGGCCGCCGCGCGCGCGGACCCGAAATGGTCGTCGTCGAAGTGGCCGCCGAACGGGAAGCCCCCGCCGCCGCCACCGCCGCCCCACATTTTGCAAGCGCAAAGATTTGCCGACGGATGAAACCGGTGGATCGCCCGATGCGGTAAATGGACCCGGTGCTTGACAAACTCTCGTCTCTGGCGTGGTTCTGCTGCTCGTCGGAGGCTGGGGTTTGAATGATATGAAAAGCTGGAGGGTTGCTATAGCGACGATGGCCTGGCGTTGCTGCCAACTGTTCGGCGAGCAATTGGGTACTGTACGTAATTGTGACAGTTGGCCGCAGTGTAATTACCTCCACAGCAAAAATCGACGGCGGGCCATACCCTGGACACATCCTGGACCGGTCCAGCAATCCACACATCATACAAATGGGTTGCTGCTGCGTTTGCGCCCCGGCGTTTGATGGAAATTGTTTGATAGCCATGTCTATTTCGTCTACTTCTCTTGCCCACCCAGCCCCGGCTGCGCCGCCCTATTGCTACAGTAGTTTCCTTTCTCATCATGCCTTTTTCTCTTTATGTTTATGCTTTGTTTAGTTCGGTTTAATGGAGCCTTTGTGTGTCCTCTCTTAGCCGATGTCCGGTGACCAACTACAACTAGTAACCTACAAATGTCTTCAACACGGAAAAGCCTAGGAAGCTGTATAAACAGCTCAACAACTGGTACGGTCACTCTAAGCATTGGCAGGCAGGATGCCTTATCAAGATGCAACGATAACCACCACCTACCAAACGGGTTTGAAAACATCCTTTCAATGTGCTTCCCCACAGCGCTATCAAAACAGATTATAAAAGCGTCACGGGATGTTGAGAAGATAGACAAGACAATACATAAAGTGACGCTGAATATGTCCCAATCCTTCTCGCCACAGAAGGTTTGTCCTCTGGTAGCTTGGATGAAATAATTCTTGTTTCCTCTTGCGGAAGGAGTAAGAATCTTAGTATCAATATTATAAACGTTTCATGTGATGTTGCCTTGCGGTTCCGTACTTCGTATTGGTGGAGATTATTTCCTCTTCGAGGGGTATTGCAAAGACATAATCTGCGGCATGGACACGCCATTCAGTATACTGTAGCTAAAGCAACAAGGACGATCATTCATTCAAAGAAAAAGCTTTGAATACTTGTTTGCCCATCGTCTTCCATTCGTAATAGCCTCTACAAATTAAGAGTTGCCGTCCATCCGGGAGGCTCGCAGGATGGATTTAAAACTAGAACAACGGCCTTGAACACAATCCTATCCAGCAGAAGTGGATTTTGAAGACATTAGTGGCATTGCTCAACATACTTTTTTGAATCATGAGACATATCTCCAAGAGGTTTGAAGGGTTTTCACCCTACAGAACCTATCATTTGCACAAAAATCTGGCAATGAAAATAGCCGCAATGCAAGGTTGAAGATGTGAGACACACGCCCTGCCACACAGATCCATGTAGAGAGCTGCTTTGCTCTGTTAAGATGGCATTTATATTAAGATAATTTCCGTTTTGCAATCCTATCTTCTTCGCATCAATAGATCTCGACCAAGACCTGCTCTTGTATCGAAAGTGATAAGAGTGAGTCGTGTTATTCTTGTCTGTATCTGCAAAAGCGGACCAGTCTGGATCGCCATAATGTGCATGCAGATGGTTTCTGGTCGCTTGGCTCCAGAAGCCTCCCTGTCCGAGAGCTGAGTCTTTCTTTATACAGCAAGAGACGTGTCAAGGGGTAGTCTGGAAAAAGGTGTTCGTTTTCGGCTTCGACCAAAAAGAGCTTCTTTCGTATGTATATATTTCTGAAAAAAAAACGCAGTTCTGCGATACTCATCATACGTGTACGCATGGCTGGTGTGCTGACCAAACTTTCTGACACTACTTTGATGCCTGCTTTAAATACAATATGCATGCTTACAACTGCGATTAATTCCCTTCGCGACATCACACCAAGTCTTGTTCTCTCTCCCACATCGCACCACGCTTCCGCCAGTGTCCAGACATTCTTGGATGTTTGCCATGCGGAAGCCGTCTAAACGGCGACGACGGCAACCAACACCCGTCCGTCGATGGCAAGTTTCAATATCCCTATCATTTCTCGTCGCTCTTTTCAGTGTCGTCCGCGCGCAGAACGGTCTTTTTTCCGATGTCTTCAGCCCCGATTCAATCATGGGAGCGAGCGCGGCCGGACGCGGAGCACCCACTTCTACTCCTCCCGGCTTTTCTGACCAGTCGGCGTACGTCGGGCTGTCCGCGGCCGGCGCCTTAGTAGCTGTCGGAGACTTTGACCGCGACCGCTTTGTCGACCTCGTCATGCTCAATTCGCAAACATTGCGAGACCTTTCTATTCTCTTCTGGGACCACGATGCCTTTGCGTTTCGACATCGAGGGCATGGCGTGCGACTCAGTGAATTCGACGAACAGGACAAGAAGTTCGGCGTCAAACCAATGGGGAAGGTCGTTGGTGTACATGTCGCCGATTTTGGCAATGATGGAACCCTCGATGTGCTGCTTCATGACGACACACAAGGAAGGTTGTTCTTTGGAGATGGTCACGGTAACTTTAATGCGAGCTCCCCGATCATCATCCCAGAATTGCCCTTGGAATCCGCCGTGGTTGATGCGAATGCTGACTTGATTCCGGATGTATTTGTGGCGTTTCGCAACGGCACACGCGGGTTTTGGGTCTTTGAAAGAGAAACAGCTACAAAGGAGGAAGGTGACGACGAGCCATTGTCACAAGAAGGGAAGATGGTTTTCAGGCCGTGGGTCGGCGGCGCAAATCGCGCGTCGGATGGAACAGACTGCGTCGTTTTGGATCCTGTATCCATTTCGTTTGTGGATATGGACGGTGACTGCTTACCTGATCTTGTCATTCCAACTTCCTGCGGGATTGAGGTTTGGAGCAATCCTGCCACCTCGGATCGAAGCTTCTGGGACCTTGCTGTGAGTCGCACGAGCGCGGAATCGGACTTGAAATTGATCGGACTCGAGGTCTTTAACAACGCACATGGAGACCAGTCCATGGTTTTCGCCGATTTCAACAGTGATGGCGCTATTGACATTGGCGTCCCGAACAGCAACAGACGCGATTTACTAATACATTTGAACATCCAGAAAAAGCGGACTGCAGACGCTTTGTGTGCAAGAGACTCAGAATGGACTCTTGCGAGACGTATCGGCCTCAGCTCCGGACTGAACTTGGGTGTCAGGAAGATCGGCCGCTTCTTTGGCAGTATTGGAGTACCACCTTCCCTCCACATCGGGGACTATGATCTAGACGGGATGCCGGATATTATGGTAATAGACAGCTCCTCGAAGCGGCCTGTATTGTTCCGAAACGAAGGAAAGTGGGACAACAAACACAACAGTCAGTCTCATTTTGCAAGGATGAATGCGAACGATGAGGCAGGTCTCTCCTCTGGAAATAGTGGGGCAGTCACGGCCATGTTTTTCGACACGGATGAAAGCGGACGCCAAGATATATTAGTGGTGCGAGGCAGCAACGAAACTCGTCTAATATGGAATCAGCTGCAGCAACAGTCAGATTCACTCTTCTTCAAGGGAACAATGCTGAGCGGCCGGCCATACCGAAGCGTACCGAGACCATTTTCTCCTGTTCCAGGCAACACTTTTAAGCTATCCTACATTGAACGAGGTAGTCGCTCGCATGTGACGAGGACGTGTTCGCAATGCTCGCAAGGAGGGCTCTGGCAGCTCCGCACATGCAATTGTCAATTTGGGTTGATGCAAATCGCAAACTACATCGAAACACTTTGGGCTGGAGGTGGAGCGGGAACACGGGCGTGGACAAATCTGATGCCCAACTCAATGGCTGTGATTTGGGCGGAGACAGCAGAAAGACGTGGGGACACGAGCTTGTGGTGGATGGAGTATTTCACGCAGAGACGCGGAAGCCAAATGCTGCGAATCTCTGCGCTCCTTATAGCATCGCTAGCAGTGCTGGCAGTTGCGATTCTAGTGTTGCAGCAGCGAGAACGGAAGCAAGATCGAGAGTACGACGAACAAGAGAGAGTACAGCTCTTTAACTTTGCGTAGCGTGAAGAACACAAACTTAACAAAATGTATACATAGTAGGAGGGGTCTCTATGGCACCGAGATTCAAAAGTTGCAACAAACATGTTTGCAGCATCTAATCTCGTAATTTGGTGCTTTGAGAATCGGAATGAGGTATAACTTATTATCATAAAGCAGGCATGCACCAGAGGTGATCCGCTTGTACATGGCAGGTTTTGTGAATCTGACCACAAAGATAGATGAGACCTGAAGAACTTCATAGGAGTGCGGCAAAATCCAACGATCAACTGCGTTATTGCCTGCGGTAGTTTCCAAAGTCTTTCTTGCCGGGTGAACAACAGGGTCCCTAATGGCCATGGATATGACTGCGTTCGGCAACAAAACAGGTTGCGATAGAAGGTCCTGTTTCAAGTGGCGGCGGACTAATCCAGGTATAGTGCAGTAGTATGGACATGGCTACAGTGCATTCATGCCACCTCTTCGCGCACAAGCGCCTCTACCTCTTCACGACTTGGAAGTGAGTCAATTGCACCAGGACGTGCTACGACGAACGAAGCAACAGCAGCCGCGAATTCTGCGATCTGCCTGGCTTTGTCCTTGTCGGCGAGTGCAAACATCCCACCCAGTCGAAACATCTCGGATATGAACCCAGCCAAAAACGCATCACCCGCTCCCGTCGTATCAACAACCCCACCTTTTGGTATGATTGCAGCGACCCTGCCAGAAACTGTTTCCATTCCTCCCTCGTACGCATACGCTGCTCCGTCTGCGCCGGCAGTGACTAGTACACCCACACATTGTCCCCCTAGCGCTTGCAAGACAGCCTCCGGATTTTCCAACGCACTCTCGGCAAGCTCTTTGTCAAAAAGGAAGGCTACTTCCTCTTGGCTGATTTTCACAAAATCTACACCGGGAGAGTGCCGCAAGAAGGAAAGAATAGTTTCACGTGCTTTATCCTCAGTGGCCTGCCCCATCCAAAAAACATCCCTCCAGTTGACATCGACGAAGATTCGCAACTTGCACATTTTCGCAACTTCAATAAGCTCTTCCAAAGCCGATGCAGAGCCTGGGAAAGCCAGTGGAATTGTCCCTGTCACTAAAATATGAGCGGCATAGAACAAGACACCAGGTAATGAATCCATGTCCATTCCGACAGCATCTGCGAAACGATCATTATCGTGAGAAAACCCAACAAAGGCTCTGTCACCTGCTTCACTACTGCGCACAAATACCCGACGCGTAGGATGCCCGACAACAGACTGGAGTCCGTCGGCGTTAACGCTGGCATCAATAAACAATTGACGAAGTTGCTGTCCCTCATCATCGTCACCCACGTTTCCAAGAATGGCGCTTGCGGTTGAGAGCTTCGCAAGTGCCACTGCCAAGTTGGCTGGCGCTCCGCCTGCAAGCGCTTTCCATGCGGTAGGATCAGACGTTGAAGCGGTTGGGGAATCGGCGAAGAGATCGAACAGCGCTTCACCGAAGCATAAAATTTTTGGTGCCCCAAGTGGAGAGGATGTTATCGGATCGGCTTCACGGGATGCGGACATGCACAATCGCGGACGTGACCGTTTCGGCGATGGCCGATGCGTGCAGACGTTGTGCTTTGTACCAGACGGACTGTTCGTCCATGACGGATGACATATAAAGGCAGGACAAAGTGACATGGCGATAGAGAGCGAGCGAGCTCTAGCTAGTGACGTTTCTGTGAGTTTCTTCTTGTATGTGATCGGATGAGTCACAGCGCCGCGTTATCGAGCTGTGTTTATGCTGAGTGCGTGAACCGTTTAGAAGTCCTCGTACAACACGCACGGTAATCAACAGCGATGACAAAAAGGGACATGGGAAGCTCTTAATCAATTGAGAGCAAATTTTGATGTTTTTATGTTTAATCTCCGCATCGCGAGGTAGTGAGGGCAAATCTCATTTGCTTTTCTCTTTCTTTGTTCAACCTGTCGAAGTCTTGCACAGACAAAACAGGAGGAGCTACCAACCTAGCTTCACCCATATCAGCGTTTCTTACAAAAAACATGATGCCGTCCCCTGGATTTGTATCACCGAGCGCTCTGGGAGCGCGGCAGAGTGCTTTTGCAAAGTCCTGGGTCTCTCCGCAAAGACCGACTCAAGCAGTCCAACCTGCTCGACATGCAGGCACACCGGTAATGGGACTCAATGCGAAAAGTATGTCGAAGAAGAAAAAGGGAGGTGGGAAGAAGAAAGGCAAAGGCGGAACGGCTCGCACGCCGGGTTCGAATGGGACTGCTCCTCCTCGGGCAAATGCTAAATCCGTGGATACCAATCGTCGTGAATATATCTATCAGATGGCGGGTGTCAACAAAGTACTTAACAATGGAAAGCAGATTCTGAAGAATATTAACCTGTCATACTTTCCCGGTGTGAAGATTGGTGTCGTCGGTGAGAATGGTTCCGGAAAGTCTTCTCTCCTCAAGATCATGGCAGGCCTCGACACAGAGTATGACGGCATTGCAGCTCCGCAAGCTGGGATCAATATCGGGTATCTAGCTCAGGAACCGGAACTGACGGAGGAAACGGTGGACGAGAACATCAACCTCGCGGTGGCAGACGTCAGGGGCTTCTTGACGAGATATGCTGAACTAGGTGAAATGATAGGCAAAGAAGATCTCACACCTGAAGAGAGAGAGAAGATTACGAAAGAGTGGGAACGTCTTCAAGATCGCATTGAAGCAACGAACGGGTGGGAGCTCGATCGGAACGTTGAGCGTGCCAGACAGGCGTTGCGTTGTCCTCCCGGAGATGCAGTGGTAGCAAACCTCAGCGGAGGGGAGCGACGCAGGGTTGCACTTTGCGCATTGCTTTTGAAGAGACCAGAACTACTGATTCTTGACGAACCAACAAATCATCTTGACGCTCTGTCCGTTCTTTGGCTTGAACGCTTCTTGGAAACGTTCCAGGGTACACTCATTGTTGTGACGCACGATCGATTCTTTTTGGAGGCTCTCACTGACTGGATTCTGGAGCTTGATAACGGACAGGCATTCCCATATGAAGGCAACTATTCGACGTATCTTGAGAAGAAATCGAAGCGCATGCAAGAGGTGGAGAAAGTCGCGTCGAGTCGGCAAAAGCTCATCACTCAGGAGCTTGAGTGGATCAGAAGCAACCCCAAGGGCCAACAGGCGAAGTCTAAGTCTCGTATTTCCCGGTATGAGAGTTTACTGGAGGAAGATGCGAGGATCGACCGGAGAGGGACGTTGGATCGGATATATATTCCAGCTGGTCCGAAGTTAGGCGATATTGTTGTCCAGGCGGAAGGAGTGCGAAAGGGATTCGGTGAAGATGTCCTTTTCGAGAATATGACTTTTGCTCTTCCACGAGGGGGAATTGTTGGTGTCATAGGCCCGAACGGAAGCGGAAAGGTAGGTACTCGGGATTTTGGCAGGTTGGCATGGGAATATATCGGCGTCAAGAAGTGACTAACTTCTTCTTTGTTTGTCCATGTTTTTTTATGTCTACGTTCCGGACTTGTCGTGGATTCAGACAACACGTAAGTATCAAAGCCTTTGTTATCATGGGAAGACTTCGACATCCTCTTGGCAGTCTGACTAACTTCCCGTGTTTTCCTGCGAAACTGCGACAGTTCTCAGAATGATTACCGGAGAGGAAAAACCGGATGCAGGAATATTTACTGTGGGAGAGACAGTTCAAGTAAGTTTTGGACATATTATCACCCCTCGCGATTGCAGTTGGTCCGGGGCGTAACGCCTTGCAATCAAACTTTTATAGTTCTAACGACGATTCGTGTATATTTGGCACGGTTGCCGACGGATTTCTATTCCACTCATGCCCTCAGTATATGTATGCGGATCAAGATCGAGCGTCAGTTGAGAAGGATAAAACAGTATTTGAAGCTGTCGCGGATAACAACGATGAAATTGTTTTAGGCACAAGGACTGTCAAGTCTCGTGCCTACCTGTCATGGTTCAATTTTAAGGGCGGGGCCCAACAGAAACCTGTGGGTTCTCTCAGTGGAGGAGAACTTAATCGATTGGCGTTGGCGCAAGTCACAAAGGCGGGAGGCAATCTTCTCCTTGGAGGTAAGACTGGAAACTGCATTGTTTTCTTTATGTCATTGAAACTCTTTCCATTTTTCACATGAAGCTAACCTGAAATTTACTTCACGTCTTTCAACTGTTCAAAGATGAGTTGACGAACGATGCGGACGCTTTCCTCATTCGCGCGCTTGAGGATGCGCTCCTTTCATTTGCAGGCTGCGCCGTCATAGTTTCGCATGATATTTCATTTTTGAATCGTGTTGCAACGCACATATTGGCCTTTGAAGGAGACGAAGTCCCTGGACAAGTGACTTTCTTCGAAGGAAATTTTGCCGCTTATCTTGAAGACAAAAAGCGCCGGCTAGGGGATAACACACCCTCTCGAATGAAATTCGCCAAGCTGCCTGCACTCTAGAGTGTACTCGCTCGCTCAGTCGCTTTGGATGCAGCGAATGCGCCTCAAAAGCGACAAGAGTAAAGCGGGCCTCGCAGGGCAACGATCTTCCGGGGAGGGCCTGCACAGTGGCCTTCACAATAAATTTGCTTAACGTTCCCAGCTGACTAGAGCCTTGAAGCGCTTAGGAGTAGAGTTGTAGAACCATCCCACGAGATAAGCCGAGGGCATTCTAAATCCTTTCTATGAATTTGGGAAACCCTGCATCTCCACCATGTACTTTTGATTGTGAAGAGCAATCACGATTGGTGAAATAGCTTTCATGTGGGTGGGGGGCAACCATTTCGCCGCAGGATTTGTTTTGAGCACACTGACTGCACGGGTCGCATCATATAAAACTCACAGTTTAGGCATCGTTCAACACCAACTATCATGAAGCCTTTGTCCGTGGGGCCGTATGTTGACACAGATAATGCATCAACTGACCATCCCGATTTTCTTGAGAGTCTCTGGGCTGCTTATAGCGGTCCTCTCCGCCGCGACTCCCAGTTTGAAAATTTGTCCGAGTACTGGCGACTCGTGGAAGGACTGCTTGTCAACCCAAGACTGTCAGACAAGTTGTGGGGCTGGATATGCTATCGTGAAAAGTATGCGAGCTTCGCCATAGTTCTGTTGTGAAACTTCGTGCTGTGAGTAAATCACTCTTGCGCAGCGGATGATTTAGAGATCTCGTCTATTTTGCGCTTTAAAATGTTTTGTCTCTGGGGTGGTTCACCACATGGGCGATGCATCTTCTCAAGCAAGTTGTGTTTTATGCGACCAACGGAAGCTCCTTCAGCGACAGAGAAATACTCCAACATCCAAGGGTGGGCTAGATATGAGGCAATAGAGTCTCTATGCTGATTGGTAGCCCACTCACTGTAGAGAGAAACACAAATGTGCAACATAGGTGGAGTCAGTATACTTGGAAGAGATGTTGTTTGATGGCAAGTGAATGAAAAAAGGGGTCGACTTACTGTTGTGTTGTACCCGGATGACCAGTACCGACGTATCTCGCCTGGAGATGCTCGAGCTGAGCAGAGACACCACTCTGAGGGGTATTGGACGTCATCCCAGGGGCTGATGTCAGCCTATTGTCAACAATAGTCGAGAACAAAAGGATTGCCTGTGCAAAATAGGCGGAGTCCAGGGGAGAGCGCGGTGAGTCACAACCGGTTGGGGGAGGGGGTGCGAGAGGAGGGGTTCTGTGAGCTGTATGGTCAAGAGGGAGGGGTGTGGATGAGCGAATGAGGGAAAAATGACAACTTTTTGATTCGTCAATTGGCATAACGTGCTTCGTCAAGAAGACGGAGCTTCTTGGAACAACAAGTGACGGCGAGCCGTTGCCCAAGTCTCTCGCCGCCCGTCACAACTTTGCTCGACATCCGCCTGTACTCTGGACCCGTCTGCCTACCCCGAGGATGGGCAGTTGGTCAAGTAGCGAGCCGCCAAGCAGCTAGATGCGGTCCCACATAAATTCAATTCATCCGCCTAGACCGAAAACGGTGCAGCCGAGATAGCACCGCGGCACAGATGTGCAGTACTGAAGCGGTTGCGCTTTGCGCCCGCGATGTCTGTAAGCCCATGAGCATTGAATGACTTTCACAGCTGGAACTGCAGCTGTAGAATGAATATGTGGTCAGCAAAGACTGCGTACCAATCTCTTCGAACTTCGAGGCGCCATGTATGCTGGAGCATGATTCATCGAGCTTGGAGTACTCATCTCATAGATTTCCAGAGTTTGAACCTTAACTTGCTTCAATACTCAAGAAGGGCGACCTATCAATGCCACTTCCTTATTTTCGGCTGGCCTTTCGCGCACAGTTACCGAGCCCGTCGAAGCCGTCTTTTCAGAACGTGGAATGGAGACCTGACTTCCCTGTTTGCGGACGTCGAGACAGTAGACCAGCTTGAGATCGAGGGTGTAAGACATTCCGCGGCAATAGAAGAGAGGGTGGGTAGGCAGCGATGGCGCCTCTGCTCCATCGAGCGGTCGTAGCGTTTATTCGCAACGACCAGCGCACTTGACTTGGAACCAGGAAGCTGGATCCAAGTTCCAGCAGTTACCAGCGCACTTGACTTGGAACCAGGAAGCTGGATCCAAGTTCCAGCAGTTTACCGGACTTGGCGACTTGTTGTTTTGATCTAACCCCCTAAGGGATTCAGGCATTCGACGACAAATAAATTGCATGGGCTTTCGCAGCCACTCGTGATGAGCGAAGGGGGTGTGGCGGAGTCTTTTTCTATGGCTCATCAACAGCAGTGAAAAGTATTATGAATTAAAGCGACAAGTTTCAAGGTCTGAGCAAGGACCAATTCGCAATGGCCCAATGATGGCACACGTATTTGTCGAAAAGGCCTAGTGTATGCTTTGTCGAATCTCGCGAGCGCCTTCACATCGCAGTTTAATGCTCCGTTTCCGATGGGAAACGGAGCATTAAACTGCACATCAAAAAGCTTGCGTTTTTCGGAAGGACGCGTCTACCTGCGAAGGTGAGACAGTAGTTGCTGTTCTTTCTGCAATCAACTGCATGCAGTTACCACATGAGCAAAGAGAATCAGGCGTATTTTGTAATGTTTACAAACATTGAAAGAATCAAGTGTGTTTGAACGATTCTTTATTGGATACATTTAATCCACCGGATGCCTTCGAATTGCGTTTGGCAATGGGCCTCCTTCCAAACGTTGGAGCAACGAAAGCTGTGAGGCGAAGACTGTAAGGGAGACAATAATCATCATGAAGGCGTTAGACCTCAGTTTGCCGTGGTCAATCCACCTAAAATGAACTTCGGATCGTAGTACGATAATGGTTCCGATGCTGGTACGACGTTGTTCAAAGCAAGATCCTCAAAAGTGTAGCAGATTTGCCGCCCTAAGAACAGTTTGCCAAGCATGCCCACTCGCCTAAACTGAACGGAGAGGATACAGAACAGCACGCAGTACTCCACACGTAAGTCTGTCGAAAGGTTTATGCTGTATCAACAAATCTCAACGGTCTCTCGTTGCAAAAGAATGAGCAAGGTTGAAAAGTAATTGCAGATATTGGTCCAACGAGCAACAGTACAGGAAGCTCGAAATGGAGGGCGCCCTATTCATGGCAACGTTTAGTATCGAGATCAAGAACCGTCGGCAATTTTTTTAACAAACTACTCCACCGTGAACAATATGCGCTTCGGTGTACAGGAATGGATCGGGAGTAACATTCCGAAGGTACGGTAGAGGGGATGAGTGGATGCCACCGGGACCGACTGCCGGGACCGACTGCCGGGACCGACTGCGACGAAAACTACATCGCAAGGGCCTGAAACTGAAAACAGCCAGGTGTGCGGCGATGGTATGCCTGGATGCTACAAAATGCAGTTGAGGACATCCTTACCACGAAGAGCGGCGGTTCTGATGCATAGCGGGGACGTAACGAAAGTATTCCATATTGTCGAGCCGAGCGTTGACACTCCTGAATTGTAGAATCCGACACATGACGAAATTACTGAAAGCGGTCGAGACCAAGCCAGCGGACATTTTTGAAAGGAAGCTTTCCTGATGCCAGAACCTTGGTGAATTCTTGCAATTCTTCCCTCGACAAATCCTGTCGTTGGAGGAAGACATCGCCTTTTTCATCACTTTGTTCAATCACATTTAGTACACAATGCGCAATTCGTCCTACTGTGGAAAGGATCAACTTACCCTGCTTCAGCAGATAGGATCCGTTAGTAGACTTTGCAAGTTGAACGCACTCAGGCGATGTCCCTCCGCATGGACTGTTCTGCTTTTCAAGCATATAAGCAATACAAGAGGTCCTTCCGGGACACAAAAAAGTTGCTGATGCATCGAGGGACCTCCCATCAATCTCTGCCCGAACAACTTCCTCGTCAGAGCGCCGGAATCCATATTCGCTATCAACATCCAACCAAAGCCCCAGTGCGTCCTTTACGCTCAATCCTGCACTGGACACCTTCTCGAAACCTTCTGCAGAATGCACTCCTTTGTTGCGCTTACCTAGAGTCCGCTCCAGCCATAGCCACGCACTTCGTTTGTTAGAATCGGGGTGCACGTTATCCCACTGAGGAGCAAGTCTGATGACTGGTAAAGAACAGTACGGCTGAAGTCCATATTGGACCCACCTGGAACTAAAATCTTGCAAACCCATCCCCTCCCGCATCATGTACATACTGTCTACCCAAAGTACGGATTTGTTCGGACCAGTGCCAACGAGTTTCGTCAGAACACGACGCAATTCGTTAGCCTGTTCATGCGATAGTTTTCCGAAGTCGTGTTCTGTGTGCTTGTAAGATAATGCAAAAGAACGCGTTTCGTTCGACACGACGCCTTGAGACGACCATTGGTCGTAATGAGGAATTCCATTTTCAACGATTGTGTTCCAGGCATTGTCGTCTCGCACATCTGGCATCACGACCATGCCAAGACTGAGTCTGTAGCGAGTATCGGATGCACCCCTGGGAAGGGACCTAAGTTCAACGTCGCCCATATGTCCAGTTGGTGTGGTTGAAGCTTTCGGTGACAAAGAAAGCCAGGATTTGGAACATGTAGCGAATTTGTAATGTTGGGGAGAGGGGATGCCGGACGACAACAGCGGGGCTGACGTCATGCTGGGAGTACAGTGGATCCTCGCTAACTGCATGCTCGGTTACCGCATATTCTCGATAACTGCATGCGTTCGTTGACGAACGCTGACGTCAGCTAAATTATTCCCTTATCGCGGAATCACTCTACGCACGAGATTTCACATACCCTTGAATGGTCGACTTTATTGAGAGAGTATTGGGGCGGCCCGACACTAGAGCATCAGGGTCTACCGAGGGTCTGCAGAGCAACCGGGGGAAGCCGTAACCTTCGTCGGTTTACGGATACCCTTTGTGATTCCACACAAACATGCAAATAAGGCACAGCCTTATTTATAGACGTACGATAGGACATAGAGTCAGTAAATATACCGGCGCCGGCGGCCCCCCCGCGGTCAGGGGGACCCCGGCATCCGGATCTCTTGGTTCACAGGTTATGGGCACCTACGACCACTGAACTTCACCACCAGACCGACCACGACCAGCCACCACGGCAAAACCGAGAGACCGCGATCAAAGGGCGACCCGACGTAACCGCGCCCGAGAGCAAGAGCAACTCACGCACGAACTCTACGAATCAGCACGGATAGCAGAGGCAGAAAATCACGACACACAACCGCAAAAACACAACACTATGACCTCATCAACACAACAACCCACGCTACCCGCACTGACAAAATCGAACTACACATTCTGGCACGACGCCCTACACATATACGCGCGTACCATAGAGGCAGAACCGCTCCTAGAAGCAGCACCGACACCCACCCAAGACCCTGCGATCACCAAACAGAATCAGGACAAAGCCGATGCGCTCAGGACGATCATCATGCAAAGCATACACAACGATCTCATACCGCAGCTACCCCTTACCATCCTCAGGGAAGAACCACACGCCATATGCGAAATGATCAATACACACGTCCACGAAACCAACATCGAGAATCATGAAGTACTGGACGCCGAGGCCCGCAGCCTCGAATTCCTCCCCGGACAGGAATTCAGTGAGTATCTAGCCAAACACCAGAGCATCCAGCACAAAATGATAATCGCAAACTACCCCAACATCAATCACGAGAGAACCACAATCAACTACATGATTCAGGGACTTACACAGCACCCAGACCTCAGCACTCTCGCCCTCCTACTGACCGGTCACAACCCACCTAGCCCCCCACACGCGCGCCACACCGCAACTGCGCAACACCGCGCAATCTCCCCATCACCAACCAAAAAGAAGCACCGTCAAGGACATAATACAGGTTATGGGCACCTACGACCACTGAACTTCACCACCAGACCGACCACGACCAGCCACCACGGCAAAACCGAGAGACCGCGATCAAAGGGCGACCCGACGTAACCGCGCCCGAGAGCAAGAACAACTCACGCACGAACTCTACGAATCAGCACGGATAGCAGAGGCAGAAAATCACGACACACAACCGCAAAAACACAACACTATGACCTCATCAAGACACAACAAAAAATGGTTCCATCTCAATTCATCGAGTACCAACACACGACATGCCAGCGGACCTGATGACCAAACCGCTCAAGAAAGACACATTCACAAGACACCGCACGCGACTCAACGTCACCCCCCCACCCACCGAGGCAGTCACTTTCCACCCCGAAACTAGGCAATACGCGCGCCAGGGGGACTGTGATTCCACACAAAAAGAGGGAAAGACGCGCGCATTGCTCTCCCGCCCCGCTACGAAAAAACACAGCGATTCCACACAAAACATGCAAATAAGGCACAGCCTTATTTATAGACGTACGATAGGACATAGAGTCAGTAAATATACCGGCGCCGGCGGCCCCCCCGCGGTTAGGGGGACCCCGGCATCCGGATCTCTTGGTTCACACCCTTCGAAGGGTACTTGTACGTGTTAGATATTTGGGATAAATCCATTGTTGTGTGGCCAAATATACTAAAAAGACCAATGCCATCTTTTTGACTGCGGTGGAGCTCGCTGTTATCAATCTGGTCCATCGCGGTGATGCGAGGACCACAAGTGAACCAGAGAAAGCGGACCGGACCGGCCGCACGGCGCGTGCTGTTCTGGGTTAATAATGTCAGTCAGCATTATTTATATGTCCATGTTTATCTGATGAAAAATTAAAAAAGACCAAAGAAAGCAAAAAGTCAGTTTGGGTGCGCTGCTGAGCTATCCCAGCGCCACGATAACAGTTATTTCTATCAGTTATCGTCACGGTGCATTTAGGACGACTACCGGGATGACTCCAGAGCAGAGAAAGGGCCTGCCGGCCTCATTTTGCAAGCTGAACTTCACAAATATTACGAGACACACGGTGCATCACGCCGCATAAACACCGGAAAGTAACAGGAAAAGCAGTTTTTATTCAGCACGCGTGCAGCACTGACGCCACAATCACCGTCCGAACCTACCCTGTGAAAGGAAAGATGGACCTCTCTGTCCCTCCTCTTTATTGTGCTTGTGAGATATTTTTAGAGAAAAATTCCATTTTACTGTAGAGGGAGATTTTATTCTGTAGACCGAGATTTTATTTGAATTTTAGAGAAGCGCACGCGTACGGCCCGGCGGAATCCGGGCCGGACGCGTGGACGCTTCTGGAAGGAATTTCATAGAAATAAAAGAGAGAGGGTGACGGGCGCTGCGGGGAGAAAGGGGGGGACGACAGTCGGCCAACCCTCACCACGAACCGCACGCTCCCCAGAACCGCCTCCCCCATTTTCACCGACAACATGGTACTCTTGTGGAGGGCCGACGCAGACACAAGTGCGGGCCCTAGCCCTGTTACCTACGATGGGTCGAACGGGTCAGATGTTTCCAAGTTTCTGTTCGTATACGAGAACATCATTATGCGCGGCAAGCCTGACGAGGAGAAGGCAGGAGCAATCCTATGCCACCTCGAGGGTGCTGCGTTCGACTATTACTATGAAACGTATAGTCAGAATAGGAGTCTGACCGAGGCCGCCAGTAACTGGGACGGTGTGAAGAGCGCCCTGTCTGACCGTTTTACGGAGGCACCGAGGCCAGAAGAAAACATCCAGAAGGCTATGAGTTGCCGACTGGATGGTAAGAACTTGCTTACTTCGATGGATGAAATGGACAAGCTCTACAGAAGGGCTGGTTTCAACGACGAGGCAAAGTACGGCTTGCTTCGCAATGCCGTAATGGCACATTTGGATGTTGCTCAGTTCGCGATCTATCGTTCTCCGACGACGTACGAAGAACTAATGAAGACCGTGAAACTTTGGTGCAGGCCGTGACGCCTTCAAGGCGGCGAAAACGGCTGCGCAGTCCGTTGAACCTGTGACGCCCAAGCGCGTACTGGTGCGTTCTGATGTGGATCCTCGACAGGAAAAGCTGGAGAACAAGGTTGATGCCATCACCAACCAGCTGGCGGAATTGTCACTGATGATGAAGAAACGACAGACGCCAGGGGACAGTGATACGAGTTGGACATGTTCCTATTGCAAGGAACCAGGGCGTTCAGCGACTCGTCGTTCCAACCCACACCGTGATACTCGTTGCCCAACGTGTGGGAAGATTGGACACACGACGGAGACTTGCTGGTCCCTCTTTGCTAGAAAGAATGTGGCTCATGCACGTCCTCAAGGTAACGCTGGCGCAGGAAGCGCTTATGGCCCCAAAGCAGGCGGTTCTGCCAACGACGCCGGTGACAAGGCCACCAGAGACTCGAAGCAAGTCACGGTCATAACTGAGACCACCAAGGGAGAATTGGTGGCAGCTACGAAATGCAACGCCGAAGGAGAGGCCTTGCCGAAGCAGTCGAAGAACCGTGAAGAAGTTTCGATCCCGAGGCTGCTGAATCCCACTCCAGTAGCTCCTAGGGGAACTCTCCCCTGGAATGAGCCGCTGAGAGTGCCGAGAGTGAAGCCTGCACGCCAGAAGAAGAAGAATGTTTCAAAGAAGGCGGCACTCCAGGAGCACGTCGGCAAGTACAACGTCGTGTCAGAGCTGGCGAATGCGCCGTCTGGTCTAACATTTGGACAACTTGTCCGTGGAGACGCTGAAGGAGCAAGGAAGGAGATGAAGCGCCTTCTATCCAGGAGATTGGGGCGTTCTCGCGGGTTTGCGGGCCACACGGATGTCTTCCCGAGGCGTCTTCGGGTAATTACTGTTCAAGTTTATGGAACTGATGCTCAAGCACTACTGGATTCGGGTGCGGTGCCGAACATCATGTCGCCGCACCTCATGAAGAGACTTTCTCTGACGCCAGAAAGTACGAAGAAACACATCACTGTGGCAGATGGGAAGAGCTCCCCTTGTGTTGGATCACTGCGCCAGGTCCCCGTCTCGTTTGGGGAACTGGTGAGCATGATGGACTTCCTTGTCGTTACGGGAACACCGTACGACGTCATCGTGGGGATGCCGTCGTTAGAGGAGCTCCAAACGTGCATTGATTTGGGGCAACAGCATGTCCAAGTAACTGTGGGTGATGAGACGATTCGACTAAGTCTTGAGATGGATGAAGACCATAAGAAGCCGGGATCCGCTACCGACAGTGAGGACTTCACGTCAGACTCGGGGGCCGTGCCGGCTGACTCGACTGACACGGATGAAGACTTCGTCCTTTCGCTTCATGAAAGGGTGCCGTTTGAACCAGACCTTGCCTGGGCGGGAGCAGTCACTGAGGACGAAGATCCTCATGCTGGACTTCCGGACCTAGCTGAGGAAGGCTCAGAGTACGAGCCGGCGGATGAGAAAGAGAAGAGAGATGAGAAGGAGGAACTTCTCATGTCTAAGCTGAGCCATATCAGCAGAGAGAACGCCGACCGCATAAAATGTTCTATCAAGATTATGGGAATAGCTGCATGGTCTTTGGACGACCTCAGGCCGGCAGATGTCCCTGTGTCACATTCGTTTGAGTTAAATGACGACAGACCCATTTCGCACGCTGTTCGGAGGCTCCCTCCGAGACAAAACGCGGTAGTGCGCGAGGAGATCGAGAAGATGCAGAAGGCAGGGATCATTACCCCCTCTGTAGCTCCTTGGTCGTTTCCGGTCGTCATCGCAACGAAGAAGGACGGGAAACCTCGCTTCTGTGTTGACTACCGCGCGCTTAACCGCGTGATGAAGGCCGACAAGTGGCCGTTGCCCAAAATGGAAGAGATATTCGACGACCTTGAAGGAAGCAAATTGTTCACTACCCTGGACTTGTTCTCGGGTTATTGGCAAGTGCGGATGGCTTCATGGTGCAAAGAACAGACGACGTTTGTCTGTCGGTACGGGACCTTTCAATTTGAAGTGATGCCATTCGGGCTCATGAACGCTCCTTCAACATTTCAAAGGATGATGGATGGCGTATTCAGAGACCTGCCGTTCGTCCGAGTGTACCTTGATGACGTGGTCATCTTTTCGAAGTCCTTGGACGTCCATGTTGACCACTTAATTGAAGTGTTCGAGCTGATTGCTCGCAGTGGATTGAAGTTGAAGCTTGCGAAGTGTTCCTTCGCGCAATCACAGACCAGGCTATTGGGGCACGTCATCGGAAAGAAAGGGGTCAAGGTGGATCCAGAGAAGACATCGATCATTTGGGACACCCCCGAGCCGCGCACCAAGACGGAGTTACGAAGCTTCCTTGGACTAGCGGGGTATTACCGCCGATTTATCCCTAAGTTCGCAGAAGTCTCTGCATCGTTGCATGCTGCTACTTCTACCAAAGTCGAATTTGAATTTACGGAAGGGATGGGGACCGCCTTCCAGGAGTTGAAGAAGAGGGTGACGTCTCCTCCGCTGTTGGCGCTCCCGAAGTTTGACGAACCCTTCGTGGTCGAGACAGATGCATCCAACATGGCAGTGGGAGCAGTTCTGGCTCAGAAGAAGGAAGACAAGAAGGTTCACCGATACAATTCGCCAGCAGGACGATGACGGAGACTGAGAAGAAGTACCCCACCTGTGAGAGAGAAGCGTTAGCGGTGATCTTCGCGCTAAAGAAATTTCGGGTGTATTTGCTCTCAACGCAAAAGTTCAAGTTGATTACGGATCACCAAGCGCTTCAGTATGCGTTCAAAAAGAAGGACATCCACGGTAGACTTGCCCGTTGGTTGGATTTCCTGGCGGAGTACGAATTCGAGATATTGTACCGCCCCGGCTCAAAGAATTGTGCCGCTGACTTTCTCTCGCGTCTACGAAAAGACGATGGCAGGCGCGAGGAGGATGAGGGGGACCTGGTATGTGCTGCCGCTTTTGCGAAAGGAGATATACTGGAAGACATGGAACCTCATGTGCGGGACACGTACCGTTATCTCGAAGGAGAAGAGATGGTTGAGCAAGATGCTGCGCAGAGGCGCAGAATCAAGAAGAACTCCAGGCGGTTCCTCGCCTGGAACGAAAGGCTGTTTCGCAGGATGAAGAATGGGATCAGAACAATCCCTTCTCGGGGGACTCGACTGCAGATATTGCGGTCGCTGCATGACGACATTGGCCACTGGGACGCTACAGCTACGAAGCAGTTCGTCCTTGACAGGTACTGGTGGCCGGGAGTTCATGGTGATATCTACGCCTACGTTCGTGGATGTGAAGGCTGCCAAAAGGCTGCGCCCATCCCAACGTACAAGAGCACGGCGGTGATACCAGTCTCTCAGCTCTTTGAGACATTCTCGATAGACTTTGCGGGACCCCTTCCCAAGACGAAGAACGGAAAACGTTACATCCTGATAGCGGTCGAACATCTGACTGGTTGGCCCCTGGCTTAGGCAACCGAGACCGCTACGTCTGCGGAAGTTGTCAAGTTCGTGAAGGAGGAGATCATCCATTCGTTTGGTCCACCTCGGACTATAGTCTCATATAACGCAACATGTTTCAGCGCGACAGCGTTGAAGAACTTCATGGCACAACAGGGAATTTCATGGAAACCGGTCCTCGCCTATGCTCCCATGTCCAACGGAAAAGCGGAGCGTATGGTTGGGACCATCAAGCGTTCAATTCGGAAGACGCTATTAGGTCAGGGCGCCGCTACCTCTAAATGGGAATCGGGGTTGAAACAGATTCTCTACGGGTACCGTCGGCGCCGACTGTCCGACGGGTTTTCCCCGTTCGAGTTGATGTATGGAGTTAAGCCGCCCTCGCAACCCCAGACCGAGTCGAACCAAATCCGATGGGCCGGCGTTGAGGGGCGCAGCTTGGAACTGTTAGCGACCCTCGCGCTCCGCGCGACGAGGACTGCTAAACAGCTGGACAGGAAGAGCAAAAAGATGGCAGTTATCTCACAACGCCAATTTGACGTAGGCGACCAGGTTCTGGTTGCCCGAGGAGCGGCCTTGGGAGGGCTACGGAAGTGGCCTTTAGGAGAATCGAAGTACTACGGCCCCTGCAGGGTAGTACGGGCAAAGCACCCGCTGTACACACTCGTGTCGCCGGGTTTGCGTTACAGTCGACGGGATATACATGCAAGGCGCTTAATCCCTTTTATTCAGAAACCCGCACATCTTATGTAGATGTGATGCATTGATTACCTACACATGCACTAGATTGAAGATGACTCGGATGAATTACGTTTCTTTTGGATGAACTATCTTTGGTTGATTACTTGAGTGATCCTTTTGCACGACGACCCTTACCATGTGATAGGGTTGGGCCACGATTACCTCGACGAACCCTCTTCTTCTTGTGTTCCTGACCGAGACTCTTGCCGTCGCTTCTATCCCGCTTTGCCATTCGGTGCACGACGCGCATATCGTCGAAGTACTGAAACTTGGTCGGATCGCCAGCGGGGCAGCACAAGCGGAGAGAACTGCTCGTGAGCTGCATGGCATACCGCTCAGAACAGTCATATATCAGCGCCGGTTCCGTCCGCGCGTCCAGACAAATAGCGTGCTGGAAGCGATGGATGTCATTGAGGCGGAGGACGTAGACACCGGCTTCCACACTTGTCGACAGGCGGAGTAGCCAACTGACGTCCGAGCTCCGCCATAACGGGGACCTGGCACTGGACCTGCCATGAATGGTTGACCCAGGCGGCGGAACCACGTGATCCAAGGATACAGTGCCGTGGTAATCAGCTTGAAGGGTCCGTTGGACATGAGTGAAGTGATGAACGCTCGGCGAATAGTTCTTTCGGCGCTCGAACTCGGTGACTCGTTCCGACTCCGCCGCCCAGACGCGGTCGGCAGCGCGCCGGCCAGCGACAAGTGAGATGGCGTTGCAGACGGCAGAACGGAGACAGAGGATGGTGTTGTCTTGAAACGGTACGGGCTGAGACCTGGTGAAATACCTCGACGCCAAGGGAGAGACGTTGCGAGACATGGCGTAGTTAACGCGCTTCTTCTTGCCCCTATTCTGGCTACACCAGTTGTCGATGGCCAGGATTGCGTCCATGCGTGTCGAGGAGTCTCGCTCGAAGGCAGAGTTGAAGCCCCGGCGGGCGTTCTCGTTCTCGGAGGGCACACGATCGAACGTCATCGTGTAGAGCAGGATAAGGTACTTATCCTGGCTCCCCTCCCCGACGGCGTAATAGCACCCCTGGGCTTCGCCGTTGCTACCGTCAGAGCACCAAACCAGCTCGACGACCCAATCGGGGTCGTCGCAGCAGAGGTACTCTCTCTCGTCGCCGTGACTCTCGGTGAGCCCGAGCCGGAAGCACCGGTCGGCAGTGAACCAAGCTTTCCGGGACAGACGAGCCGCAACGAATGCCAGCACATGGGGCCCGAGGAGAAGTCGGGCCCCGGCGGCAGAGACGGCCGCCACGACGGGTGCACGATTACCGACCTCTTTGTATCTAATGCGGAAGGATCCATCTCCTACCTGATACCTAACCGCGGATACATCGGAGCGTCCGGCGTGCTCCCAAAGGGTTGAGAGGTGTTCAGCATTCCTTGAGTCTTCGAAGTCAATGAACGGTCGGTTGACGCGGTGGGACGCCCTTTCACGGACCTCCTCCCCGTTCTCGCGCCACAGGCCCGCCGAGCGACGGGCCGCCTTGGTGGCGATCGCTCGACGAGGGACCTTCCCGCCAGTGGAAGCCCTCGCCGTCTGCTTGGTCCGAGCCATGTCGCACAGAGAGTACCGCCCGAAGGACCACAGACCTCTCGTGCGTGGCTCGGAACGCGGCGCGTTTCAACGAAGTCCCGAAACGGGAACAACGAGAAACGGAGGCTCAGGCGACGCGGAGACCACGCGGCATGAGGCTCAGACGGCGTGGGATGGTTAACGGCCGGAGGCCCGGGAGACGCGGAGACCACGCGACCCGGGGCTACGGTGACGCTGACTGCGAAAACCACAAGTTCGGGCGACGCGGAGACCACACCGCCCGAAGTTGAGGCTGAAGTGCTGGAGGCGGCGCGAGAAAGAAACGATGCGAGCGTAGTCGACGCAAGATGGCGGTGGAGCGGATGAAATAGAAGGTAGCTAGGTTCGGTGGAAGGTGGAGAGACGGTGGCCGGGGGGGCCAGAGCGGTCACGCGAGGAAGCGGGGCCAGTATATTTACGTGCAACGGCAGCTCCGTGGTCTGCCCTGACGAGGGGGTCATGTGAGATATTTTTAGAGAAAAATTCCATTTTACTGTAGAGGGAGATTTTATTCTGTAGACCGAGATTTTATTTGAATTTTAGAGAAGCGCACGCGTACGGCCCGGCGGAATCCGGGCCGGACGCGTGGACGCTTCTGGAAGGAATTTCATAGAAATAAAAGAGAGAGGATGACGGGCGCTGCGGGGAGAAAGGGGGGGACGACAGTCGGCCAACCCTCACCACGAACCGCACGCTCCCCAGAACCGCCTCCCCCATTTTCAACGACAACAGTGCTGAATCGTTAGTGTCCGTCTATGTACCCTTCTCGGTACTGTACCACCCTACTTGGTTGGATCTCCCCAGCTCACCCTGGGTGCGCGGCGCCGTCGGACTTACAGTGCCTTACATCGCTTAGATTCCAGCACCCCTCCTCGGCGGCGCGCATATTAAAATCACTGTCTCTCTCACAGATCGATTCCCCTCCTCGGGCAAACACTGGCGCGCATGTTAAATCACTCTCTCTCTCAGGAATCGCTTCCCCTCCTCGGGTAGACACTTCAAAGCTCCTCCTTGAGCTGACCGTCAGATTCAGCACTATGCGGCGCCCCTGTCGCGTCCACTGCGCCTCCCTCGCGCTCACAACGATCACCATGGCACCTAACTCGTGCTCGGTGTTCTCGTCACCGTCTGTCCGATTCTCGAGCACAATGAACCGTTTCCTCCTCGCTATATTTCACCGCGTCAATCTGGCACGCACGCACGTGGGCCTCTTGTCTTAGTACGAAACCCAAATATGAGCCTGTGGGCCGTGGTACGGAACAGAAATTGGTTTGACATCTAGCGCATGTCTAGGTTGGTGTCGGTGGAATGGCCGAGGATACGGGCTGTTGATACGTGCTCTTGACTTCTGCTTCTCCTGGTCCTAACTGTTTTGGACAATTTCACCTAACGTCTGCATGTTCATTTTAGCATGAAGTTTGTGCAGGACTCTCCATGTAACTGATTTTGTCAGCACGTCGGCAATATTTTCGGAAGACGCAACGTAAATCAAATCGACTTGGCCGGTGCGTAGGAGATCCTTAACGTGATGCATCTTTATGTCAATATGTTTGTTTCTTGCCGTCACCTGCTCGTTTCTGGCCAATGCTATGGCCGCTGTGCTGTCCGACTTAACGAGTGTCGCGGGCATATGTGAATTGGTCTGGTACGGAGTTCTCGTGGCGATTTCTTGTAATAGGCGACGGATCCAAGTGACCTGTTTTGAACAAGACGACAGCGCAACATATTCAGATTCGGCAGAACTCAGAGCAATGACAGTTTGTCGTTGGCTCTTCCAGAAAATTGGTCCGTCATTGAGAGTAATTGCATATCCGCTTGTCGAATGTCGAGTATCTTGACATCCACCCCAGTCGGCATCGACATGCGCTTGAAGTGATTGCGGTGTGATGTTGCCGCGTCGGAAATGTAGACCGAAATCGAGTGTCCCGGCGATGTATCGCAACAATCGCTTTAAGAGTGTCTGATGGCGGGACGTCGGTGCGTGGACGTGGCGTGCAAGGACGGAGACTGTGAAACAGAGATCCGGTCGTGTGCAAACTGCCAGGTATATAAGTTCCCGATGATTCCTCGGTATTCGGAGTGTTGTGATTGTGAGAGGATGTGTTCTCCGTGACGGGCAGTAGTAGTATCAGCGTTGTACGGAAAGGGGGTCCATACTGCATTGCATCGCTCGAGGCCACATTTTGACAATATGTCACGTGCATATCGCTGTTGACCGACATGGATTCCGTCTTGGGATTCTGTAATTTCCCATCCGATGACCGTGCTCAACTGTCCGAAAAGTTTGACATCGAATGTCGCGGAGAGCTTGTACTTTATCCGTTGTAGCAGTGATTTGGAATTGGAAATGAACATCATATCGTCGACGACAACGACAATAATTACGAACTTGTCACCAGACTGCAGTAAGAACACCGTTCTATCCACGTTTGAGAGTTTGAAGCCCCAAGATAGAAGCGTGGTGCATAACAGTGACCCCCAAATTTCCCCGGCCTGTTTGAGTCCGTAAATGGACTTGAGTAGGAGACATACCATACCGGGATAAGCTTCTTTTCCTGTGGAGTTTGTAGGCTGCTGCATGATGATCGGGACGTCGAGGTGGCCGTACAAATATGCGTTTCCGACATCAGCTCCTTCGACAATGAGGCAGTTGCCGGCTGCAAACGCGAGAAGGAGTCTTATCGCTTCATGACTGGCTACGGGCGCATACGTGTTAAGTGGTTCGAAGTCGATGTGTGGTTGCTGCTTATCTCCACGGATGCAGCAGCGTGCTTTTGGCAGCAGCTCTAAGCCTTGAGCGTCAAGTTGCTTCAGCTTGAACACCCACGTAAACGGGACGGGGTGCATGTCCGCGGTACGGTGCACATACCGCCAGGTATGGCGATCGACTAGAGCATGGTACTCGCGATCAATGGCCTGCCTCCAGTCTGGGAAGGTGATGGCTTCAGCGAACGAGCGTGGAAGGCGTGGGTCAACGCGCAATGAGCGCTTGATGAATGTCTTGTGTCCACGGTTGTGGGATCGTTTGGCTAGATTGGTGTATGCGTAGGCGTGAAAGGCTCTCATGAGTACCTCTTCAGCCTGTCCGTCACTGTTGTTCAAGCTCTCAATCTCACTTTGTCGAGCAAGTCCGTCTAGGAGAGACGCAACACCAGGGAGCTTTTCATGACGATATGGTCGGAAGTCCTGTACTCTAGTGAACATGATCGACTTGGTCTCAGGAACGTAGATTCGAAAGAAAGTCTCGTCACTTTCCATTCCGACGAAATTTCCATGCATGGAGCGTGCGAGGAAGTTCTTGTTTGGGACCGTCTCCGAGCGGTATCGAAATGCAAAACCGGGCTGTCCAAAGACAGGGACCTTGTTGAAGTGTATTCTTGTGTGCGGATACCAAAGAAGAATTGGTATGTCACCTTGAATTCGAGTGGACGGAAGACGGTTGCGGAGCCAATTGGCGTGGTGCATTGCCTCCGCCCAAAGAGAATCCGGCAATTTGGATGCAAATAATAGGACTCTCGTGCGTTGCCAGAATTCCTGTAGCCTTTCTGCTGTACCGTTGCTCTGATGCGCATACGGCGGTGATGGCTTGAGTTCGATCCCGTTCTCCTTACAAAATGTTTGCACTTCGCGGCTCAGATTCTCACCGGCACCATCTAGACGTAACTGACGTAGGGGGAAACCTGTCTGTCGCTCCGATCTCATCTTGTATTCGGTGAGAAATTTTGGAAGGTCTGACTTCTTCTTTAAGAAGAACACGTCAGATTTTGCGGTGAACGAATCAACAAAGCAGAGAGAGTAAGTGCTCCCAGCAGTTGTGGGCGTGACCGGACCGGCAATATCGGCGTGCACAAGTTCGAGCGGAGATACAATGGTTGTCTGTGCTCGCCTAACAGGTGCCCTACGTGCTTTTCCGAGTTGACACGGGACGCAAAGCATATCTTGCAACGTTTTTCGAGGGAAATGTGGTATATCCTTGAAGAGTTGAGCAAGTCCGACGTACCGTGAGGGACTGGGGTGTCCCGTGCGGTAATGCCACTCTAATGGTTTGCTTTGAGAAAGAAATGGTGTTGGCTGGAATGAGTTGTGATCAGAAGAGCGAGCAACCGTCGTACAAATAATGCAGTGGCCTGAGTTGTCCGGTTCCGGCTGTGCGGAGCAGAAAGCAACTTCTCGCTGGTCATTGGAGATGTTCATCTTGTACAGTCCATGTTGCGATTCGGTCTCGAAAACAACTCTTGGTGTTCCAGCTAAGTTGACACTGCAGTGACTAGTGCCTTCATCTTTGGTGGCGAATAAGACGTCAAATGTCTTAGACAGCACGTGTACAGAGATGATGTTCTCTGCAAAGGTCGGTACATGGTAAGCTTCCACGTACATGCCACCGTGAAGAGACAATAAGACCTCACCAATTCCAACGATCCTACTTGTTCCAGAAGCAGAGATGACTTCCTCACTGAGACGACGATAGTTTTGAAACCCCTTTTTGGAGTGAAAGAAGTTATGTCTGGCACCGGAGTCAATGAGAGCATCATTGGTTTTCTTTGGGCTAATGGACGCAACTGAAGTGCGGTATTTGATCCTTGCCATAAACCCCTGAAAAGAATTCCCATCGTTTGAGCTCGAAGGCGGATGGCGAAGATGATATTGTTGAGCGTTGGCTTGCGGAGGCTGTCCGCCCTGTTGTTGCTGTGGTACGAAACCTTGACTACCATTGACTGTATTGTTCCAGGTGTTGCTCATCGAACGGTGACGCTGTTGATAAAAGGAGGGACCAGAAAATCGAGAAGAATGCGAACGATTCTGTCCGAACATGCGACGACTTCCACGACCACGGTATCTACGGCCGCGATCTGGTCCGCGAGCACGACCAAGGGAGCTGTTTCTATCCGCACGGTACCAGCATTCTGAAGCAAAGTGTCCAGATTTTCCACATACGTAGCAGCCGTCGTTTGATTGCCTATATTTTGTGATTCGACCGCCAG